TAGACTAGCGCTCTACCACTTGAGCCTCAGCCCCACTTCCGGCTTTTTCTGCTTATGTGGTGCTGAGGAATCAAACCAGGGCCTCATGCATGCAAGGCAAGCACTCTACCACTGAGCCACCTTCCCAGCCCCTGATTCATTTACTTTTTGGGCAGTTTTGCACTCTGAACTCAAGGCCTCATGCTTGCAGGAAGGTGCCCTACTTTTGAGTCACACCCCCAGCACTTTAAGTTCTCTTCTTACCCAAATTAGTGCTTTTCTGTACACCAAGGGAGCATAATGACTGATAGGAGGTAGATGTTGAGTCAGTGTTGACAGGATGCTTCTAGCATCTTCATCTGAAAAGGATAGCCTCTTCCTGCACTGGGAACAGGAAATTTCAGCATTGACAGTGACAGGGTTTATGATCTTGGACATAGGTTTTTGTTACCTGGGTGGGTTTGGGTTTGGATTCTGGCTGGGATTGGCATACAACACGTGTGTGCTGTCAGTCTGTCCCCTTTGTCCAGCTCACAATTACAAACATGGACCAGGGCTGGGGATGTGGCTCAGTGGCAGCGCACTTGCCTGGCATGCACAAGAATCATGGGGCCATCCCCAGCACTGGAAACAAGCCCAACAAAACACAGACTATGGATCTGTTTGTACAAGGGCAGGGCATGCTCGACCAGTGGTGACTCTGGGCTGCCCTGGCCTCCTTCCCATATTGCCTGCAGATGGCCAGTTGAGACCTAAGAGGGTCATGTGCATGGGAGGCTGGGCTCAGGGGTTGGGCTGGCCACTCCCTCCCTGAGGAGGGGACAAGGGCAGGATCGCAGAGGGCACTGTGAGGATTGCCTGCTGTGTTCTGAGTCTGAACAAGACTCCAGCTACTCAGGGACATGGGAGCTGCATTTCTGAGCCACAGTTCTGGGCTCTTCCTGTCTGTCTAGCATTGCTTTCCTCCGTGCCTGGGGCATGAGACTGGGGTCAGTGTGACATGGTACCCAGAGGCCAGCCAGGCACTCCAGAGGGACGTGTCAGGACACACATGGTTGGTCTTGATTCTCTGAGTGAGGCTGCCTGGGCTGCTTGAAGGCTGTGGGGAGGAGCAGTGGTCCCAGTGCTCGAGACACTGTTGTTGGGGGGATGGGGGAGAGGTGCCAGGATTCCCCAACTTCACACATGGGGGCAGTGAGGTCCAGGAAAGAGGGGTTTCCTTGAATTCCCCCAGCTCTTAAATGGCAGGCACACTTGTACCTTGGTCATTTGGCACCAGGCTGTGCTGTGTGGGTCCGATTCCTCTCAGCCTCGTGTGTCCACTGCCCAGAGGGCAGCAGGGATGATGGCAGGGCCCCGAGGCTGCCATCTCAGGAGCCCTTCATCTTTGGGCTCTGGTTGCTGGGAGACGCGGCTTGCACAGATGGGTGACCCTGAGGGTCGCTCCAGAACAGATGAGTGCACATCCTGGGGGCTTGCGCCCAGCACCGGGAGATGATGGTGGTGGGTGTCCTGTCTGTCCTCTAGCTCAGTTTGCCCAGCTGGCCCAGCTGAATCCCCAGGAGCGCCTGAGCCGGGAGACAGCGCTGCAGCAGAAGCAGGTGTCCCTGGAGGCCTGGCTGCAGCGCGAGGCACAGACCCTACAGCAGTACCGCGTGGTGAGTGGGGCCTGTGACCCTGGGCTCCTGGGAGGGAGCCCCTCCACCTGAGTCCTTGGGGACCAGAGAGAGGATGGGAGCAGGAGCCGGGAGAGCAGGAGGCCTGCCTGTCTTCCCAGGGGGGCTTGTGAGACAGAGTCAGGCCTGAGAGCAAACAGCCTCCTGGGCCTGGCTGCTGGGCGAGGCCTGCAGGGCTGGAGCATGGGAGGCCAACGGGGCCGCTGTCCCCTCTCCCTCACCCCTCCCCCCCACCAGGAGCTGGCTGAGAAGCACCAGAAGACCCTGCAGCTGCTGAGGAAGCAGCAGACAGTCATCCTGGACGATGAGCTGATCCAGTGGAAGCGGCGGCAGCAGCTGGCCGGGAAAGGGGGTCCCCCCGAGGGCAGCCTGGACGTGCTGCAGTCCTGGTAAGGCTGAGGGAGGCGCCAGGGTGGGCAGGGCAGGGTGCCAGCTGCCTCTGCTGCCTCCGGAGCAGCAGGCTTCCACTGTCTGTGGCAGCGCAGCGCACGGGGGTCCTGCTTCCTGCAAGACTTTGGTCCCTGTCCAGTGCCACCTCCCCCTCAAGGATGAGTCCTATCTTGGGGAGTGGGGAAGGGCTTGGGTGTGCAGTGACTCAGGCTGGTTTTGAAAAGCCAGGACGGCCCCTCCTGTGTAGTTCTTTACTTCTAGAAGGCAGAGCTCTGCTTCCCAGCAGCTCACTGGAGAGTGGTGAATGAACGCTCCTTGTTGGCTGGGTCTAGCTTCCAGGGTGGAGCTTTGTTGTGGGTCTCCCAGCCCCTGGTGAGACTCGCAGGAGAAGCCATTGTCGAAGCCCCGTGGGCCTTGGGTGTCTTGCAGGTGTGAGAAGTTGGCTGAGATCATCTGGCAGAACCGGCAGCAGATCCGCAGGGCAGAGCACCTCTGTCAGCAGCTGCCCATCCCCGGGCCGGTGGAGGAGATGCTGGCTGAGGTCAACGCCACCATCACAGACATCATCTCAGCCCTGGTGACCAGGTGACTGCTGCCTCACAGCCAGGTCCACCGGGGCAGGGTAGATCCATGGGTGGACCGGTGGAGGCCCAGGTGCTGTCTCGACAGGGACCTCCCTCAGTCCTGCTCTCTCCCCACACCCCACCCTGGATGTCCCTAGTTACTCTGGCTGCTTGGGGATTCCCTCATCCAGAGTCTGTTGGTGGGAGCTGCCCCCAAACTCAGTCTACCCTCCCTGACCATGGGAAGAGGACAGGGGAAGGAACCCTGGGAACAGACACAGCTCCATGTGTCTCCCTCCTGCAGAGGCCAATGGGAAGCTCCTCCCCTCCCCTCCAGGAGACTCCCTGCCCTTTCCCCTGAGCCAGCCCCTGGTCATCCTGTGGCCACTTGTGTCCCCTGCAGCACGTTCATCATCGAGAAGCAACCTCCTCAGGTCCTGAAGACCCAGACCAAGTTTGCAGCCACTGTGCGCCTGCTGGTGGGTGGGAAGCTGAACGTGCATATGAACCCACCCCAGGTGAAGGCCACCATCATCAGTGAGCAGCAGGCCAAGTCCCTGCTCAAGAATGAGAACACGCATAAGTGAGTGTGCTCACCTTGCCTGCCTCTCCTGGTCTGGGATTAGCTACGGCTTGTCTCCCTCCATTCTTGCTGGTACCTGTACCTGGATGGTCTCTTTAGGTTCCTCTGTCTAGTCCTCCCGCCCAGAAGCCTTCCCCATTCCTGCCCATACCCAGCACATAGTAGGTCAGCCTATATGTTACTGTCATATGTAGACAGGCTTTGCCAGTCTCCTCAGTCTACCTGCTTACTAGCAGCACAGTGATTACGGGAATAGCTGTGTGACTGGAGACCTGAATCAGGGCTTGTGGAGGGGTTCACATTCCAGGTGGTGGAAAATTTTCAATTGGCCTCAGGAGGCTGCTAGTGACAGGGATTTTAGTGGGCAGAGCGCATGTGCTGTGTTCTAAAGGAAGTGTGTGGAGAGGGCACAGGTGACTTGCAAGCGCCAGGTCGGAGCTGGCCACTCACAGAGTGTGCAGCTGATGAATGAGTTGTGAGAGTGAGTGGTTACCCAATTACACACTGAAGCTCCCCATTATCCTGCAGCTCTCTGGGTAGCTAGGAAGCCAAGAGAATAATACTTCTTTCTTCTTTTTTTTTTGTCAGTCGTGGGGCTTGAACTCTGGGCCTGGGCGCTGTCCCTCAGCTCTTCAGCTCAAGGCAAGCGCTCTACCACTTGAGCTACAGCGCCACTTCCGGTTTTCTGGTGGTTTATTGGAGATAGGAGTCTCACGGTCTCTCCTGCCCCCAGGCTGGCTTTGAACCGCGATCCTCAGATCTCAACCTCCTGAGTAGCTAGGATTACAGGCGTGAGCCACCAGTGCCCGGCTGAGAATAATACTTCTTTCTTCCCTCCCTCCCTCCCTCCTTTCCTTCCTTCCTTCCTGCCTTCCTTCCTTCCTTCCTGCCTGCCTGCCTGCCTGCCTGCCTGCCTTCCTGCCTTCCTTTCTTTTTTGTGCCTGTTCTGGGGCTTGAACTCAGGACCTTGCAATCTTAGCTTTTTTTGTTTAAGGCTACTGCTCTACCACTTGTAACACCTCTACTTCCAGAATTTTCCTGGTTAATTGGAGATGAGTCTCTTAGATTTGTCAGCCCCCCACTCATTTTGAACCAGGATCTTCAGATCTTAGCCTCCGGAGTTACTCGTATTATAGGCACGAACCCCTGGCAGCTAGCTGAAAAATACATTTAAAACAGCAACAAAAAAAAAAAAGGTCAGGTGCCAGTGGCTCACACCTGTAATCCTGGCTACTTAGGAGGCTGAGATCTGAGGATTACAGTTCAAAGCCATCCTGGGCAGGAAAGTTCCTGAGATTCTTATCTCCAATTAACCGGCAGAAAACCAGAAGTGGCGTCGTTGTATGTAGCTCAAGTGATGGAGTGCCAACCTTGAGTGCAAAAGCCGAGGGACAGTACCCAGGCCCAGAGTTCAAGCCCCACGACCAACAAAAATAAATAAATAAATAAAGACAGTCTCCCAAAGTGATATTCAGTCATAATGATAGATCTAGTGGGCATAGGAGGGAGGGAATGGGAGCTAGCAACACCAGATAGGTGATTGAGGATGGCCTTTTTTTTTTTTTTTGCCAGTCCTGGGGGTTGAAGTCAGGGCCTGGGCACTGTCCCTGAGTTTCTTTTGCTCAAGGTTACATCACTTCTAGCTCTTTCTGTTTATGTGGTACTGAGGAATCGAGCACAAGGATTCATGCTAGCCACACACCCTTCCACAAAGCCACATTCCCAGCTGTTCTACGGAGACATTTGAGTGTGAGACAGAACAAGGAGATAGTGGCAAGTGTTTGGGGTGACAGAAAGAGCATGTCCAAAGTCCTAAGATAGGAATCCAGTGTAGCATGCTGAGTACTTAGTCAAAACCAGTGTTGCTTTTTGCTTTTGTGTTCTGAGTTCTGGAAAGGGAACCCAATAAGACCAGGGAGCAAAGCAGCCTTGATCATGAAATACTTATGTCTTTTGTTGTTGTTGTTGTTTTGCACAAGGGTTTGAATTCAGGGCTTTATGTTCTCATTATGTGCTCATGGCTGTCACTTTAACCACTTGAGCCAATCCTCCAGTCTGGCATTTTATTAGTTAAATGGAGAAAGATTTTTCTGCCTAGACTGGCTTCAAATTGTAATCCTCCAGGTCTTCCCCTCCTGAGTAGCTAGGATCACAGGCCTGATCCACCAGGACCTGGCTTAGGCCATTTTAAGTACATTGGATACTACCAGAGGCCCTTAAGTCCCCCACATCAATCTCAAAGCCTAAGCAGTTCCTAACCTACAAAGCTAGAGGGTTGTAGGTGTGGCTTAGGTGGTAGGGTGCCAGCATCAGATAGCAAGTCCACATCCTGGTCTCAGACAAAAAGAAGGGAGGGAGGGAGGAAGAGAGGGAAAGAGGAAAGAAGGAAGGAAGGGAGGGAGGGAGGGAGAGAGGGAAGGAAGGAAGGAAGGGCCTAAAGCTAGAGACCCAGACTTCATCCTCAGAGACCTGGCCTTGGCACCTCCAGTTGATGGAAAAGCTAAAACCCCAGAGAGACCAAGAGATACTGGTAGGGATTGAGGGGCCTGGGCTGCTACAGGGCTGACCAGACTGAGGTCCCAAGCTCAAGGACAGGACAGGACCAAGCTCCTCACCTGGATCCCATGTGGAGCTGGGTCTACCCTCTCTTTTGCAGTGAGTATAGTGGTGAGATCTTGAACAACTGCTGTGTCATGGAATACCACCAGGCCACCGGCACCCTCAGCGCCCACTTCAGAAACATGGTGAGCACAGGGCCCAGCCTCAGCTCGTTGGAAAGGTCTGCCGGGAGCTGAGTATTGGGTAACTAGCTTCCATCTCCCTGTCCCCTTCCGGCCTCCTGCCCTGTAGTCTCTCAAGAGAATCAAGCGTGCTGACCGGCGGGGTGCAGAGTCCGTGACGGAGGAGAAGTTCACCGTGCTGTTTGAATCTCAGTTCAGTGTTGGCAGCAATGAGCTTGTGTTCCAGGTGAAGGTGAGGCTTCTATGTCTGGCCTGAGACATTGGGAAAGCCAGAGCATTCTGATTCTTTCTAGGTTCCCCCCAGTTATTCCGCCATGCTCTTTTTTTTGGGGGGGTCCGGTCGTGGGGCCTGAACTCTGGACCTGGGCGCTGTCCCTCAGCTCTTCAGCTCAAGGCTAGCGCTCTACCACTTGAACCAC